AACCCAAGGCTAAATGTTCAGGTGCTGAAACCATGATGTTTCAGAAACATCAGGCATTACATGGCACTCAGGAAAAATGAAACAACAGACTTTCCCTTCCTGCTGAGTCTCTCCAATTCAACCCTACATTTTCGGAGATGCAGTTTTTCAGTATACTGACACATCAGAGGGCCTTGATGTGTTCAAACAGAATCTCTGAGAGGGTTTGAACTCACTTTCTGAGTGCTTAGGCTATGTCTGTGATCAGGTGGAAGCTAAGCTCTTGGCAACTTAACAGCTCTGCCCTAAGTCTCAGCCTTAGTGTACCTCAGATACCCAGATGTACTCAGATACCCAGAAGGACACAGCGATGCTTAACTGGCCACAACAACAGCTGAGAACAAATGACTCATGTCTTGTGACCTGGTTGTGACAAGACAACTGGGAGCCATTAAGAGGAAAAAGATGTAGAGGAAGCTGGTGTCAGGGGACACAAAGCAGCTAAGGATGTTAAATTTTTAATATATTTTTTCGTACTGATGTTCAAATGCAGGGCCTTGTGCATTCAAGACAAGCACTCTACCACTGAGTGACAGCCCCAGGCCCCCAGGAGGTGTTAAATTTTTGATGATCAGAAAAGCCAAGTGGGAACTGAAGGAATTACTAAGATGAGCGATGAGAGAAAAGTAGCCCATTTCATGGATGTAGTGGAAATAGGCATAAGTAGTAGATATTCTAAATTTTAGATAGTCTAAATTTTCAATTAGAGCGTTAAACATCAGCTGGCCTGCACAAGTGTTTGCTGTTGGTGAACTTTGGGTTTACGGCCAGCAGCGAGTATACTGATAACGTCTATCAACACATTATTTACTCATTCTCTTGCCAGCCTTAAAATCAGGACACCAGAGAATGTTTCTTTGTTAATTCACAAAGGTTCACATGTTCACTTGCTCAGAAAAAGTCGGTATAGGTTCTATGCCTGTATGTTATTATGATACTTTTATGTTTTCCTTATGGTGCAGGGCCCCACAAGCATGAATTGAAGATCTGTTATGAATCCATCCTAGTTCTAGATGCTGGAGACCCAGTCTGGAAAAAAGAGCAGGAGAGACAGACAGGTAATATTTTAAAAACTGAAGTTACAATATCATGGCATATAAACCAAGATAAACTTTTGTGTGTGTGTGATACTAGGGTTTGAACTCACTTATTTTTCAGATACAGTCTGGCATCAGACTGTGACTCTACTTATGCCTCCTACCTGTGCCTGTGGGATAGTTGGGAGTGCAGGCATGAAGTGACACAACCAGCCTATTGACTGAGATGGGGGGTCTTGCTAACCTGTTGTCTGGGCTAGCCTCAAACCATGATCCTCCCAATCTCCACCCTCTGATTACCTAGGATTATAGGCATAAGCCACTGCACCTGGCCATGATAAACCCTTTGAGGAAAAATAAGGTGGGATAAAAGGATGGTGACGGCTCCATTTGGAAGCAGTGACTAGAAGAGTCAGTGCTGTGCTGGTGGCAGCCCCTGCTGATTGAGTGCTTAACTGGTACATTTTAGGAATTTTGTAAGCCAGAAGCTAAACATAGTCATTGTTAAAAATTAAGTTATATAAATCCAGAAGTAAATGCATTATATTAAAAACATAGCAAATACTCAAACCCACCATTTTCTATTTTGCTTACTACTTGTTACCATTACCCGTGCATTACCAGTCTAACATTGCTTAATTTAAAAAACTGCAACCTTGGGTGATTTCATCATTGTGTGAACATCATAGCATTAACTTACACAGCCTCAATAGTATTACCTACCAAAAACCAAGGCTGTATGGTATTGAAAATAGGTAGGTAGGTAGGTAGATACATAGATAGATAGATAGATAGACAGACAGACAGATAGGTGCATTTATACAATGGAAATCAGCAAATGACACAAGTCAGTTTTTATCCCAGAAATCCAGTTGCTAAATATTTACCAGCACTTGACAGAAGAAATGCCTTTTTAATGAACTGATATTTGAGCAGAAGCCTGAATTAAATTTGTCTCTGTAATATCTGGGACAACAAAACAAGTCCAGGCCTTAGATTAGCCCTTTCCTGACATGTCTAAGAATTGGCCCAGAGAACAGCAGAGCTGACTGCAGGTGGGGGTGGGGTAGGGGGGGTAAAAACTGGCAGGCAGGCAGATGAGGGGACACATTAAGTAGACCTTTGAAGCCCATGGTCTGAGGTATAGATTTCAGTCCAAGTACATCGTGAAGCCATGGGAGAATTGAAAACAGGAGAAGGATAATATCAGATTTGTATTTCTAAGGATCACTCTATTGTGTGGAGGACAATAGAATATTCTATCTGTGGAGAATTGTCTATCAGGTTCTAAATTTCACCTAAGTTGAAGTGACTAACAATCACTCTTAGCAATGTGTGAGAACCATTGCTTTGCAGCCGTTCTAGCACTTACATTCAGGCTATGTGGGATGTGGCCAGGCTACCAGAGCTCACCTCTCTCCAATTCCCTTCTACTTGAGCTCATGGTACTCACCACTTCCCACCACCCTGAGGCTAAGTGGGTTTATATGATGGGCTCTGGCTAATGAGATGTGCATGGAAGTGATGGTGACACTTCTAGGCAGAAGTATTTAAAAGCCACTGTGATCTCCCTTCTTTCCTCTTCTCCTTCCATGGTAACCAAAGGGACCACATACTAAGGTGGGGGCTCTGTAAGATGGAGGCCTTCTGATCCCCAAGTGACTCAGTGGAGCACAGCATCCCTGATTCACCCTAGCCATGTAACATGAGCAAGAAACAAATCTCTCTTTCCCAAGTTCCTGACATTTGGTGATTCATTTATTACTTTAGCTTGCCTTACCCTGTCCTGATTAACGTCAAGCCAGTAGGAGTTTCCTAACAATAGGTAACATTTGTGGAGCACTTCATCCACCATGCGCTGTGCTAAATGAACCTGCATTTTCTCATTTAAGCTCCACATTACCCCTAGGAGGCGGGTACTATTATTTCTTCCATTTTAGAAGTAGAAAAATGGAGGCCCAGAGAGATAAGTGACTTTCCCAGGGTCCCCCAGAAAATAAAGGGTGGAATTAAGATCCAGTCCCATACAACTGACTCTAGAGTCCTCCTTTTTCCTACATGAGAAAAGATCCAAAACAATCTGATGTATTCCTTTTTTGTCCATTTATTGGGTACTTATGGTGCTTGGCTCTGAGTAGGCACCTCAGGAGTTCACAGTTCAGGGAGGGAGAGACCTAAAAGAGAAAATGGTACTGAAATGATGTTACAGGAAATATAGAAGAGGGAAGGACAGGCTGAAGGACACCACAGATGCAGTTAGCAAAATCCAGCCTACAAGAAAAGTGATCCAGTGTCTTCAACAATAAATCACAAGAAAATTGAGGCAGAAAACATAGAATAAAAAAGATTCAAGAGATTACCAACCAGTGGAAAGATCTGTTGGCTCCTGATTCAAATAAGCTATATATATATATATTTTAAAAAACTTCAAGACACAATAAATATTTGGAAATTTGAACACCAAATGAGCATTTGATGATAGGAAGAAGTTATTAACTTTAATTTTAAAATTTTTAGGTGAGATAATAGTCTGGTTATTATTTTCAAAGTGCCCTTACATTTCAGAGATACATACCAACATATCTGTAGACAAAATGACACAATGTCTGGAACCTTCTTCAAAGTAATTTAGGAGGGAGAAGGGGGTGGATGAACAAAGATGGCCATGGATTGATTGATCCTTGTGGAGCTGCCCGATAGTTACTTGTGGATCAATTTTAGTAAATATTTAAAACTTCCCATAATGAGGAGTTGTAGACGAACCAACTGACGCTGGGCTGGGTACAGAGGGACTGAAGAATTGCTGACACAGTGTTTAAAAATGTTGGGAGGCTTCAAGTTCTTGGCAGCAAAGGAGCACGCGCAAACAGATCAAGCTATTTCAAGCATCACATTAGTGATGCCAGAGATGGTTAATACCTGTTTTTCACGGCTAACTATCACATGGAAACAGGCTACTAGCGTTCATGGCACTTCCTCCTGCGGACATGAGTAGATGCGGGCTAAGTGGAACAGCCGACGGAATGATCCGGGTTTTCCTGGGGCGGGGTGTGTGGCGTCTTTCACTCCACTCGCATTTATCTGATTTATGCACGACGCTGTTGTATATCGACGCTGTTTGAATATATCATAATTTTTACATGACCTGGCATGAATCCAGCACGCATATCCATTCCGTGGTGGATGGACACTTGGGTTGTGTGTCGTTGGAGGCTTATATAAACAATGCTGGTAAAGGAGAATGATGGAGGGGGTGAATTCATCTATGATATATTGTAAGAACTTTTGTAAATGTCACAATATACAACAATGATATAATAAGAAAACAAAAACACAACGCTGGCCAAACATCCTTGTACGTGCTTCGGATGCCTGCCTGAGATGTGTGAGATGGAAGGTGAGGGGTTGAGCTTTTCTTTTTTCCATATGAAAATCCAATTAATCCAGCACCGTGACCTGAAAATAGGACTTCCAGGCGCTCTTCAGCGCCACCTCTGAAATGAGCTGTCCCCTTGTTTCGGGGCTCTCCGTAAGATGGTCGACTCATCTTAACCCTCCCACTTGGCTCTGCCTTCTCTTAGCATTTTCTTGGTTGTTCTTAACCCTCTGAATTTCTGCTTAATTTTTAGTCTCTGGTCTAAGTGCACACGTGCTGGGTCGCAGCCTCTGACACGTGCCTGGCGCACAGTAGGAAAGTGAACGACCCGCTGTTGCATGAATGGGGGACCTGGGAGAGGATGGCACAGACGTCCTCCCGCTCCAGGTGTCACCTGCTGCCCCACCTAGGCCCGCCCCCCTGCGGCGCACCTGCGACCACCCTGCGCAGAGACCCGGCGACTGCGCGCGTCCTTGGGTCGCCCCGCCCCGCGCCCCGCCCCGCCGGAAGGGCGATCCCGCCTCCTTCATTTGGCAGTGACGGCGCAGGAATGGCAGCAGCGGCGGCCCCGAGAGACAGTGGCCCCGGTATGGACGCCCGGCTGGACCAGGAAACGGCCCGGTGGCTGCGCTGGGACCAGGTGAGGGCGACAGCAGGATGGGAGCGCGCGGGGGACGCGCGGGGACGCGCGGGGTCCGAGTTTCCTCCCTCGCTCGGCTCCCAGCCCCGGGCTGCGCGCGTCCCACCCAAGGCGGAGCAGGAGGACTTGACCAGAGCCACGTCCTCCCCGGCCCCGCCGGCATGTGAAGTTTGCCCCGCGAAGGTTGTCCCGGCTCCAAGCCCGCCATCTGGCGGCCGGGGACTGCAGATCGGTGTTGGGGGCAGTGGTCTAAACGCGGCATCGGGACCCGGCTCTGGGTACTTGGGGTCTGTCACTCAAACCTCCGGCTCATCCTCCGCGTGGTGGCTGTGCAACCCAGTGGATCCAGAAGCGCCCGGTCCCGCCTCTTCCTTTCACCCCGGGACTTTGCAGAGCAGCGTTCCATTCACCCCTGCCAGGGCTTGTACTAACGAGGGCCCTCCCTGGTGGGCCTGAATAACCTCAGGAATTTCCCTTAGGACTCGGGCTTCACCCCGAGAGGACAAGGAGACCCTCTGGACACGTATCGCCTTTCCGCTGTTTACCCTTTCTCATATCCTGGAGCAAAAGAGTCAGGAACCCAGCTGTGGACAGCACTTCCTTCCTCCCTTCTTACTTCAGCCTCTCCTTTGTACCTGCTCATTCCTGTCTGCTGTTTTCCCCAAATGTTCTTCTCTCTCTTCTGCTGTTTGTCATGCTGTTACTTCTGTGTGGGGTCTGAACTTAAGTGTGGCTTACAAGGGGAGACCTCCCTGGCTCCCTGCTGTAACTTCTTTCTTCCAAACACTATCTAAACAGCCTCTTCCCTTTGTCCCTACTGCAGTGGAAAGCTCCCAGCAAGCACTTGCAGGTTTGTTTGATGTCTGTGTCCAGGGCTGACTTGAGGGTGGGGGTGAGACCAGTGCTTCTAGAAAGGCCTGCTGCCACCTGTCTTCAGATTCTTAATCCTTCAACAAGGAGCCCCTCACTTCCACTTTGCCCCAGAGAGAGAGGTAGTTGCTGGTGCTGCCTGCTGTGCTAACGCCTGGTGGGTGTCTGGCATATAGTTGGTCCTTGAAATATTTGTCAGATGAATGCAAGCCATTTCCAGGATGCACTGCCAATGCCTTGGGCCATTTTTCTTTTCCTGGAAAGAAAACCTCATAATTTTTCTTTTTTTTTTTTTCAGTACTGGGGTTTGAACTTGGGGCTTTGGAGCAGGCACTCTACCACTTGAGCTATGCCCCAGCCTTTTTTGCTTTAGCTATTTTTCAAGTAGGGTCTTGTATTTTTTGCCTAGGCCTGCCTGGACCAGGATGGCCTGGAACCAGCAGGGATTACAGGCATGGGTGGTAATTCTTAAGAGAAGGAAAATGTTTCCATTTTTGATAATTTAGTAACTGGCAGAGGATAGAATTCTTGTAAAGCCAGAGGTCACAATACATTGTTCCACAAACTTTTCCTTTGAAGAAAAAAAGAAAAAGGAATTTCTACAGAATATGGGATTAGTATAGGAATGGCACCTTCCTTGGTAGCAGTGAAGAGACGTTTTTAATTGTGGGTGTTTGTCTCTTCTCCGTGCTTTTTCCTCTCTCAGTTGCTTTAGTTTGAAGCAGGAACCTCTCTGGGAAGGGACCCATTCATCCCCTGGTGAAGCTACAAGCATTGCAGCTGCTGGTCTGATTCCTTCCAGGAGTGGGCAGCACCTGGCAGGCATTCTGCATTCTGTGCCCCTCTGTGCCTGCACCCCTGTTCTTTTCTCTGCTGTCCCTCCCAGGTCACTCCCAAGGCCAATCTTCATCTCTGCTGCCTTCTCAAGTTTTCATTACCTCTCTGTCTGCTTTGTTTCTGTCAGGCTCCTGGCTCTTTTATAGATATCCAAGGCCAGTTAGGATTTCCCAAAGCTACACTATGAATCAGAGGAGCGCTGGGTGTGACCATGAAGCCTGTTTTCCCATCCACTCAGAGGATACTTACTGAGCCTCTTTTTTGTACCAAATCTGAGCCCTTCTTTGGGGGCACCTGGCAATTTGATGGGTAAGACTATGCTCTGTGATTTGTATCTTGCTTTTAATCCAAAAGTAGGGTTTTGATTCTTGTTGAATCTGGAACAATTTGGAAATACGGCTTAATTCCAGGAAGCCAAGGTTTTATTGCAATAGCATTTCAAAGTGTAAATTATGTGGTCACGTCTTGCCAGAGTGTTCAGCTAAGTAGACGATGACTGTAAGATAGAACTAAAGTGCTTACTCTATTATTTTCCTCAACTCTTAATTTAAAAGTCTGATAGGAAATTTTTGTGCTCATCATTAGTTTTCTTCAATCTTAACATTTCCTACAAATGCACAAAGAAAATAGGGCAATGTATAATGAATTCAAATTATTCATGTTAATGTCTATTTGAAGCAATTAATAATAGAAAGCGCTACATTAACGCTTGCCGTGCAGCTTACGCAAGTCACTCAATTTCCACAGTGTAGAACTATGGAATTCTCCATATGTTATTTGCCAGTTTCTTTAGAGTCTGCAAGATTCAAACTTGACCAGGTATGTACACATCTTGTAAAAAAATTATAGAACATTATAAAAGTAAGATTTTAATTCCAGTTGTGTAATCTGTCACTTTGAGGACATTAGGGAAAAACATTTAAACATAAATTAAATACCAAGCAGGAAAAGGCATTTTACATCAACGTAACTTAAAACTTTAAAAACTTTGTAAGGGAGGGTCTAGATCACCATTTTACATCTGGGGAAGCTGACAAGAAACTAATAATTGGTAAGGGATGTGTCTGGGATCCCATTCTGGATGTTAAACCTCTATTGTAAAACATCTCCTCACTATATCTAAGAAAGTGCTAGTATTGATAGGAAAGAAAAGACACATTGCAGCATTAAACTCACTCCCTGTGAGATTTGAAAAGCATCAGGAAATTGAAAATTTCCCAGAGATTAGAATTGTGTATGCATGTGCATGAGTGTACACGCACTGAGATTTTCCATTCTCTTAGTCACCTGGCTTGTATGGGTGTATACATTTCTGTTTTGCAGAATCCTTTAACATTGGAGTCAGTGAAACAACTAATTGCAGAAGGTAATAAAGAGGAACTACAAAAATGTTTTGGGTCCCGAATGGAGTTTGGGACAGCTGGCCTTCGAGCTCCTATGGGAGCAGGGATTTCTCAGATGAATGACTTGACCATCATCCAGACTACACAGGTACCAGATTCTTATATTTTCTAGTCACTCCTAATGTGTCCCCAGTTTCTTTTGTGTTTGACAGCTCTAACTTGTTTTAATTATAGATATGTCTTTGGACTTGGTCAGGTGAAGGGAGTCAACACCATCTACTTCACGAAGTGAGGTTTATGCAGTTGGTTGAAGCAGTACTTATTTCAAACTCTTATAACTTTCCATCCATCTATTCATCCATCCATCTCTGTTAGGAATTTACTGAGTGCCACTTTGTGCCAGACACTGGGAATGTATTAATGACCAAAACAGACAGATTCCGTGTGGAGAATTTATTCCAGTACAAACCCACTAGCTAAGCTGACTTGAGGGAGGAAGGGAGGAGGAAGAGAAGGAAGGAAGCGAGGGAGGGAGGGGGTGGGAGGGAGGAAGGGAGGGAGGGAGGAGAGAGAATGAATATGAATGTGCCGGGAGAGGGCTGAATTGGCTTTTATGATTGAGCTTTGAAAGCCACACAAAGTCACTGCTTTCCACCATATTCTGTCTGTTAAAAGTGAGTCAGTAAGACTGGCTCATTTGAGGAAAGGGAACATAGATACCTACTTCTCACTGGCAGAAGGTCATTGTCACATTGTACTTGTGGGATAGGATGTATTGTCATGACCATTATGGACAATTCAGTTGGCTGCACCTGCTGTTGGGCATAACTGTTAGGGAGCTAAGGATTCTAGACTAACCTAGAGTCTTCTCTCCAGGATTCATCTATATCTAGTTTCCAAGAAAGAGGAATTGCATCCCGAGAAAGAGGAATTGCATCCTGAGAAAAGCCACCTAGCTTTCCCTAGAAGAACCTGTCTCTTCTGAGAGTAGGCCCTGTGCTAGTTTAGAACCCTGTAAAACCAAGATGAGTGATATTTAAAAAGCCATCTAGTCCACTTGGCCACCCCTTAGGATCATTACAAGCCTACTTGTCTGAAACTGACCAGGATGCTTGCAAGCAGAAACAAGGATGTTAGGGGTTAAAAAGTTTTATGTTTTAGGAGTGGTTCCAACATTGGAGGAAAGCGGATTCCAGAACGACCCCCTCTGGCTCCCACCTCAACCTTGGGTAGATTTGCCTGGCTTTGGAACTAAACTGGTCACTTAGCGCTGTTCCATCACTGTGGGGTAGGACTCTTCCTCTGGCTTGTGGATGTGGAAGCCCATCCTCATGGTACCTTAAAATTTGCTTGGTTTGGGTAACAAGTAGTGTATGTGAGTCAAGATCATCTCAAAGAAATAGGGAAGCAACCAGGGGAAAACTTCTGCATTGTTTGCCTTATTGATACAATTAATTGTAATTGTACTAATCAATTAATTGTATCCTTTTGTACAATTAATTCATGCCTATTTTTTGCTCTGTTTGTGACGCAGGTGTTAGAGTACTCAATCTAGCCAGGACACATGAGTTTGGAGAACTTTCTGTACTCTGAAATAGCTGATTCTGATTTTGGGCCTTTCATTAAAAGATAGTTTCATTATTTTGAACCAAAATCCACCTTTTTGTAGCCTTTGCATATGGGCCATAATTCTACTTTTTGAAGCCATGCAAACAAGTTTGCTTCTTGTGTCTTATAATACCATTTTAGTTCCAAAAGCCTCCCTCATGCCCAGTGAACCATTTTCCTAGATTTAATATTCCCTTTGCCCTCAGCCTCTTTCTGGTTGTCCTCCTCACCAGGGCCCAGAGATTTTTAGAGCATTAGGAGGCATGAGGATTTGGACTAATGCGTGTGCTTTTTGTCCCCTGAAACATTGAGGCCACTGCACAAAACTTGACTTGGGAGCATGAGGGGTGCTGTCACCCCTTCTTCTGGATCCCTTCTTAGAAAAACAAAAAACCAACACACATGTGCCTTATTTCCTTGAATCACTAGCCTCAGAAGATGTGTCCAGTGCAGTTTCTCAAGGAAAAATGAAAACCATGTTGAACTGACATAGCTTTGGTAACAAAGCTTTGAAGTACTTCCCTCCCCAAAATAAGAGTTATGATTCATTTTTTGCAAGAATTCCTTTAGCCAAAGTGAAATATTTATTATAAAACATCATTTTTACCCAGTCTCTGTTCTGTGATACGCTCAGCGATCTAACTCTTGGATTGCAAGCTCTCTGATCTGGGGTTTGAATAGTGGCTCTGATAGGTCAGAACACATGGGGCAGCCCAGGGTTTGGGTGTTTCATTGGTTGTGCCTTGTTAATTGGATTGTTGATGTCCTCCATAATGTCACAAATAAACAAAACAAAGTTTCATTGTTTAATTGTCAAAATCCTATAAAACAAATTGGGTTTCTTTGAGCTGATGTTACAGATCAGGGAGAAATATCTGAAATACCTGACCTGCCTCAAAAATAATAGAAAGGAAGGCGCCTAGGCTTTAAAGGAAAATAACGATTAAAATCATACCCTTTGGGGTGCCTCTTCCCCCCCACAATGCTGACTTGGTGTTCAGTTCTTGAGTTTGCATGTTTTTATTCATTTGATCCTATGACAGTCCTGTGTGGTGGGTGTTACTGTTATTCCCACTTTACAGAAGAGGAAACTGAGGCATTAAGAGATTGATGGACTTGTCATTTGCTTGTAGGTGGCAGAGTGGATAATAATTCCTATTCTGGCCCCAGAGCATGTGCTTTAACTCCTGTACAGAACCACTTCTCACCAGCTCTGGGTTCAAAGCCAGGCTCTGCTGCTTATGGGTGTGAAACTGGGCAAGCCATGGCACCTGGCTGAGCCTTTGTGTTTCCATCTGTAAAACGGGATTTCTTGGCAAAGTTGATCTGGGGTAAAAGATAAAGGTACTTGGTGCCCAACACAGTATCTGAAGTATGTATACATATACTTCTCTCATATATGTGATGTATGAGAGAGGGAGAGAGAGAGAGAGCAAATAAAGCTGTTATTTTTATTGTCCTTCAGTTTTCACAATCTGAGGTGTTCCCCTCTGCTGTGGTGTTCTGTGAAAGCTGGGAAAATTTTGGCCTATTTTCCCATGCCACATGTATAAAAGAAGCATTATATATTCTCTTTAGGGGTTTTGCAGATACCTGGAAGAACAGTTCAGTGACCTGAAGCAGAGGGGAGTGGCGATCAGCTTCGATGCGCGTGCGCACGCCCCCAGCGGGGGCAGCAGCAGAAGGTACTGGGACCTTTTAGGAACTGACCCTCTGCCACGCATTCCCCAGTTTTACTTTTAATAACGATTTCAATGGTGTGACTTCACATACGTCATTAGCCACATTGCTTAACCGAAAATGATGGGTAAATTACGTTTGCAACTTTTAAAAAAGTCTGGTTTTACATTCGGTTAAAGAAAATGAACTTATCTAGGTGTTTAGAATGTAATACTAACCTAAAGGGAAAAGGTTTTTCTAAGCTGATGATGTGATTTTTTCCCTCTCACTGGCTGACTTTCCTTCCTTCCTTCCTTCCATTCTCCCTTCCTCCCTCCCTTCCTTCCCTTCTTTCTTCATTCCAGCATTAGCAAACTTATTTTCTAAAAGGTGAATTATAATTATCTTTCAAATTATATACCATACAGTTTCCATGACAACTATCAACTCTGCTATATAGTATGAAGCCTCCATAGGCAATACATAAATGAATGGGCATGGTTGAGTTCCAATAAAACTTCATTTACAATAATGGGCTTCTCTTAGCCATGTTATGCAATCCTTTTTTTTTTCACTCGACTACTCCTCTATTATAATGAGTATTTTAATCATCCTAAAGTGTAAGTATTAGCAGATCTTAAATCCGAAGCATGTGAAAACATTTCATCTTAATGAAAGACCCCATGAACTTTACAGTGCTGGACAAGTCCATAGAGTCCTGCTCTTGGCCCATGAGCAGAATGAGAGGAAAGCATTGATGGGAGCAAGCATGTGGTGGTGAGGAAGGAAGATGACATCGGCCCCAGAATGAACTCAGGAGGGTAGAAGGGTTTCGGTCTTCCGCTTTGCGGCTCAGAAATGTGATTCTGTCAGTAAGTCTAGGGAGAAGCTGCTGTTCTGGGGTCAATGCACACCATCTGCATTAGCAGCAGAGGGATGCAGGATGTCAGTGGGTGAGTGTACCCTCAGAACCGAATCATGAGCGAGTTCTGCTGGGCCGGTCACATCCTCTGCCAGAGTGTGCACAGTGCACTATGAGGCTGACTCTGCCTGCTTTGCTTCCCAGAGTCCTTCACTGTAGGCTGACCATCCTGCAGTGTCTCCTCTTCTGACTTTAAGAGCAGGCCTTTGAAGTCACCTAAAGACATGACAAACATTTCATGAGGGTGAAAGTGACTGACACAGCATAAATAAGCCTAGTTTGTATTTTACTCAGATTTTTATTAAAATTCTTTTGCTGAATTCTGACATTTTTATCACTTTCCATTTTTTAGCTGATTTTTGTATTACTGTTGGAGGGCAGAGGTCTCTCGATGGAGCTAGCTCCTGCATTGTGGCGTACTGGCTGCTAATTCTCTGTTGTGGGAGACTGCCCTGTGCATTGCAGGGAGGTTAGCATGTTTGGCCTCTACTAACTGCCAGTACCACATTCTCCTTCCCCCAAAGTCTCCATTTCAGATGCCCTGGTTTTTTGCGGGGGAAAAGCACCCAGGGGAGAACCTCTGAGGTAGAGCAAGATGGACGGAGAGTTAAAGACTTGGGTGCAGACCTGGCTCAGATGCCAAGTGGCCATTGGATGTGGGGCAAGGTGCCTAGCCTTTAGTCCCATTTCCATAAAAAAAAATAAAAGGGGAGGGGCCAGAATGAGATAATTCCTAATGGTGCCATGGCTTCAGTGTTCTGTGTCAATGTAAATAGCTATTAAAAAAAAAGTTTCCTTGCTCTGGATGTTATTTCAAAGAAGTGTTTACCTTCTTCTGTCACCCTCAGCTCTGACAGCTGACTCCTTTTCTTCCCATCTCTGAATTTCTAGGTTTGCCCGACTTGCTGCCACCACATTCATCAGCCAGGGGATTCCTGTGCACCTCTTTGCTGCTATAACCCCAACCCCTTTTGTGGTGAGAAACGGTTTCCTTTTCTAACTTCCTGTCGTGGGGTCAGGGATGGCGTTTGGCTGAATTTTGCAGACTGTAGTGCTGTTGGAATTCAGATATTTCAGTGACAACGAACTCCTTTGCATTCCTCAGACCAACTCTTTTCTCTCTCCAGGAAAGTTTCACCCACATCCTCATAATAGTCTTTTGCTAGTTACCATTTAATTCATCAGAACTAATTTTCTAAAGTGTAATGTTCAGAGCTGGGCTGTAGCTAAGTGGTAGCATGAATATTGGTCTGGTTCATCCCACGCAACACACACACACACACACACACACACCACAAAATACATATACATATATAAAATATATATAATTTTCCTTTGTAAGGATATTTTAGTGGATTAGCAACAGTACTTTTTGTTGTTGTTCTTATTTGTTTGTTTTTAATTTGGTGAATAGTTCTTTTTCCTAGCTGTCAAAATTAGAAAACTTCTTGGGTCTAAATCTGAATTCACCTCAAATCCTGTCTTATCATGATTATTTTTGACAAGTGAGTGTACTGGCTTATCCACAAATGCTTCATAGGAAATACGATTCCTGGCTAGACTTCTATCAATCTCAGTGAAGCAGAATCTACAGAGACAAGTACCAGGGACCATGACCGCTGTTACTGTGCCTATATAATGAGCAGACAGAAGCATTGAGACCTGGGCCCGCTGCTGTGAATGTGTCTTTAGGAGACATGACCCAGGTGTAGATCTTTGTACCAAGCAAAACTGAGAGCGTCCACAGACAGTCAGTCCCCCAGCTCTGTGTCTGCTTCTCCCGTGCAGGACAGGCAGGTGCTGCAAATAAACCGGAAAACACTATGTCACAGCCACATATAGTTCAAGTTTCACTGTTGAATGGAAAAATAACTTGGAGTTCAGGCATCCCAGTTGTCTTCTGTACTATCTAGGTGTGAAGAGCTAATATTTTTGTATCAGACAAAATAAAATGAGTGTCTCCTGATCATTTTCCCACACTGTGGAGTGGTTTTGCCCTTTTCTTTGCAGCAGTACACCTCATGGATGTGATATAACTTCCAAGGGACAAATGAGTGCAGTGATGGCTTAGTAGGTGGGTGGAGGGGGACAGATGGTAAATTTCAGGTTGCCTGTGTATCTTGAATCTCATTCACAGCTGTAGTGGGAATACCCCAGCTCTCCCCCATTTCAGTCCTGTAAAGAGAGGAGCTAAGTTGAAATCAAAGGGAGGGATATTTAACAATGAAGCATGAGAGAAATGAGCAATCTGTGAGAGCCTTTGCCATTTCCTCAACCTTTTCCTTAAGCCAATGAGAAAGAGGGGGCCAAGGGAATCAGTTGAAGAGAACAAACTGAATTTTTAAGCTTCTCTCCTGAGCCAAAGCTTTAAGAGAATGCAGATTGGAGGCTTAGACCATCTTTTTGTTGGAAGAGTTTTCTAGCTCTACCAAGTAAAAGACAGAATGCGAGGAAGGCATGTGGAAAACTACTCAGCTTTCTTATTAGGAAGCCATATAGATCCAAGGACAAAAGTAGTCCCACTTACCCCAGGTGGGAGCCTGAAAATGCAGTAGACCAAACCCTATATAGTCTATGTTTTTCCTATACATACAGCCAATGATAAAGTGTGTCTTATCAGTTAGACACGGTAAGACAATTACTACTAATAAAATAGAACAAGTATAACACTATACTGTAACAGAAGTTATATGAATAAAAGTTATATGAAAGAGTTAAGACAAATATTACTATTTTTTGACCATGGGTAACTGAAACTGCACAGAGTAAACCATAGATAAGGGGGTTTACTGTGTACTGTTTGGCATGGCATGTTATATTTATTATGTTTATGAAAAGGGAAACAAATTGGCACAAGCAATATGCAATAGACATTTCAAGTATATCAAATCATTTGTTAAAAATGGTCTCTTGCTCTGTTATAGCCCTACACAGTGTCACACTTGAAACTTTGTGCTGGGATCATGGTCACTGCCTCCCACAATCCAAAGCAGGACAATGGCTATAAGGTAATTTTCTTTCTCTAATCACAACCCTTCCCTAGGGATCCAGTCCCTGTGCTGTTGGGGAGCACAGGTGATGGATTCTTCCTGAAAATCCTGAATGCATTCCTGGCCTCCCTAGGTCTATTGGGAAAATGGAGCCCAGATCATCTCTCCGCACGACAAAGGGATTTCTCAAGCCATTGAAGAAAATCTAGAACCCTGGCCTCAGGCTTGGGACGATTCTTTAATTGACAACAGTCCCCTTCTTCACAACCCCAGTGTGTCCATCAATAATGACTACTTTGAAGACCTTAAAAAATACTGTTTTCACAGGTAACTGGAGTGTCTTTGCTGATCTTGAGGGAGCTCAGTGAATGTGATTCAGCCAAAGCCAAATACTACCAATTTGTATAAATTTTTTTCTTTAGTTGGTGCAGTTACAGTAGTAGTTAAAGGGCTGTGGGCCAGGCATTGCCCAACTTTTCTTTCTTTTCTTCTTTCTTTTTGTTTATTTGCGGTGCTGGGGTTTGAACTCAGAACTTCACACTTGCTAAGCAAGTGCTTCACCACTTGATCCATGCTTCCAGTCCTAGCCAACTTTCCTTAAAGAGACAAGTAGTAAATACTTCTGGCTTTGCAGGCTGCATGGGCTTTTCCTCCACTACTCAATTTTGCTGGCTCTACTTTGGTGACCTGTTGTAGACTCATATATACAGTATGTAGGTGTGCGCATGTATGTGTGTGTACATGTACATTTTTTAAAAAGCTTGCCGAAAGGTGTTGAAAAGGAAACGAAATGATACTTTTCTTACCTTACAGAAATATTCTGTGCCTATGCAAACGTGTGTATGCATAATATACCTCAGAATCATAAATAAGAATGTGTGCGTGTATACTTTGTTCTGTGCACTTCTCTCCAGTTCATTCCAGCACAGCTTCCTGTACTAGTCTGTATTCATCCTGACCTTTGTATTCTAAAGGCCACTGCTTTCATTTGTGGAATGCAGTGACACGGACTCACTGCTTTCAGTCAGGAAAGCCTAGCTGGGTAGCAGTGTTGAGACCCCGCTGCTCCTGACTGTCCCCAGCAAGAAGACACTGATTTTAAGAAGCTGAATTCCTGGGATGCCTCAAATACTGTATTTGCTGGACCGCCTGGCAGCCCCAGTGCCATGTGGGGACCCCAGACCCATATGAAGGCAGCAACCACAGCAGCAGAGGGTCACCCTTAGCCACAATGTGGAATCCAAATTGTCAGGTCATTGGATTTATTTTCTCCTCAAAAGACATCCCCTGTTTCTAAATGTGGAGACCATTTTTTTTCCCCCACTGGTGCATAATTTAACGAAAACACACCCATGAATCTACCCTTTGTCTCTTTTACTCAACTTCATAAAGGTAAAGAGCTGACAGTTTTTTGTTGTTCCAAGCAGCACTAGACTCAACCTCCTGTGCGCAATAGCTTGAGTGCCTGTGTGCGTGCGTGTGTATGTGCATTTGTGCATGTGCACACATGCCCATAAAATCACTTTCTAGCATCAGAATTGTGTATGCTTTAGGGCTGGGGTTGTAGCTCAGTGGTAGAATGCTTGCCTTGCATACACAGATCCTAGTTCCATCCCTAGCGCTGTAAAAAACAAAAGGAAAAGTCATTATATTTGCATTTACAAAGTTAATAAAGGCTAGCAAATTGCCCTTCAAAAACATTACAGAGCTGATGCTCCCACCAAAAATGTGTGACAGTGTAGAAGACCTCCACATCTCATTATTCCAGATTTGCTAGAAAATAGCTCACTTATTTTCATTCTGTAATTATGAATACAATTTTTTTTTATAGTACTGCAGTTTGAATTCAGGGCTTCACACTTGCTAGGTAGGCAAGCTACCCCTTGAGCCACTCCACCAGCTAGTCTTATTTATTTCAGTATTGTTTTCCCTCTTGTTACTTTTAGGATTGTTTAGTGAAACTTCTTGTTGAACTTTTTAAAAGTTCCTTAATGTTTATTAGCTTTTTAATTTATGGCTTTGGGTTTTCTACCATACTTTAGAAGACTTCCTCTGCACCAAGATTATAAGGAAAAGATTCCCTTTGTTGTTTCTGGAACTGTTGTGTTTTCTCTAGAACATTTTGGAGTATTGACTCTTTTTCTGTTACTAGTGATTTTTAATATTGTGAGGGTGTGAAACAGGGAAGTAGCTTAGGTTTTTTTCTTTTTTCCTAAAGGATTTCAGTTACACCAATATTAAAATTCGAAGAATCTTTTTTGACTAATGTCAAAATGTCACCTGTGTCAAAATTCCTAGATAACACCTTTAGGAAACAATTCCTAATACGAATTGAATGCTTACTATAGGCCCTTGACAGCTAATCTCATTTTAACAATGCCAGAGGGTGGGTTTTGGTGTTTTTACCATTTTGTTGATGAAACAGCTGAGACTCAGAGATTGTCAAGCAGTAGCCAACAGTGGCAGAACTCCAGGATTTAAATCCAGAGTCTGGCTCTAGTGCGTAGTAACCACTAAGCATCACTGCTTCTCATACACATGTCCTATTTCAATTTGATCCACTTCTGGACTCTTTATTCTGTTCCTTTAATCAGCCTTTTTTGTTGTTTGTTTTTGAAGCAGAGTCTTGCTCTGCAGCCTCAAACTTGAAGATCCTCCTGCCTCAGCCTCCTGAATGCTGAGATTACATGTGTGTGCCACCATACCGAGCTTAATCTGCCTTTTTATAACTGTATGCCAAAATTTTAATTACTGTAACTTTGTAATGTGTTTTAATATCCAAGAGATTTTTATCAGATTTGTCCACCCTGAACTTGCATGTTCATTTTTCCGGACACATACTACAGTCAAGCGTGTGCTTAGTCAAGAGAAAACCTTGGTCATTTACTCATTTCCAAACCAAATGGATAATAACTTAAGCTTCTAGCAGTTGGAAGCTTTTAAAACTTCATGCTTATTTTTCTGTAGCTTTTGTTAATTTTTGTTTTTATTGTTCTATTTATTTGAATTCCTAGTTCATGACACTTTAGCAAATAGGATTGTCACTTTGATAAACAAAAAGTTGGGTTTTTTTTTTTTCACATATCCAAGTATGGAATAATTCATCACAATTTAAAAGGGACACTTTGAAAACCACTTTTGAAGCTGATAAAGATGATATGGAGCTCAGAGCCCAGCCTGGCACTGCCATGGGCGGCACTTATATGACCAGTGTGGGTCTCCTCCTGGAGTGCCAGCCTGGGGTTCTTTGGTTTTTTTTGTTGTTGTTGTTGTTTTTATTGTTATTTATTTATTTTCTCAGTACTGGGGTTTGAACTCATGGTCTCACACTTGGTAGACAGGCACTCTACCATTTGAGCCACTCAGCCAGCCCTGGGGTTCTTTGTTTTATTGCACTCTATGCTTTACCATGAAACACAATCTGAAAATCATCAGATTTGCTGAAAAGAACCACAGAGTAAAATTTAAAACGTACACATGTTGGTGGTATATGATATTTGATGTGATATATGAGATATGTGTATTTAGGGAGAGAGTGGATGTGGATGAATTTCATTTCTTTTTGGAAGTGAAATTGCAAAGGTATTCACTGTTCTTGTGCATTCTTACTACATGGGTTTCTTACAGTCTTAAGACCATGCTGTCATGGTATTTTGTAAATCTTCCTGTGTGAAGTCTTATTTGTATCTTTTGCCATGGCATGTCTGATTCTAGGAATGTGAACAAGGAGACCAAAGTAAAGTTTGTGCACACTTCGGTCCATGGTGTGGGTCATGACTTCGTGCAGTCGGCTTTCAAGGCTTTTGACCTCAGTCCTCCAGAGGCCGTTCCCCAGCAGAAAGATCCCGATTCTGAGTTCCCAACTGTCAAATACCCGAATCCCGAAGAGGGTAAAGGTGTCTTGGTAACCTACTTTTATTAAATAATAAAACCTACCTTCTATATTCAAAACTACTATTAGCAAGTGAAGTAAGCTTTTATGTGTTTTCATTGAAGCTGAAGTAAAATGAAATTCATCATTGGAAATAAGTATTTTTCATAGTCATTAATATCTTAAAGGAGCTTCAAGTTAGATATTTTAGCATCATGATGTAAGAGCTGAAATCTAAATAATGCTTTCAATTTGATTAAAATTTAATTTACTATGTTTCTTTAATGCCAAAAGGCATTTTTTTTGTTATGATTGTCATCTTTCTGATTTGAAGGAATGATATTTAAATTACGGTTCATATAACATTTTTAAAAGTTAAGTAGCAATGATATTGAGAGAGTTTGGTTATTTTGGTTTTTGAGGTTGGTCACACATAGCAATGCCCAGTTCCACTGCACACACTCTGTCACATGGAGATGGAAGTAATTTCAGGGCAAATAGGGGCCACATGCCAATGCTTCCTTCTGTTACCTTGAGTTCTGACACCAAGCAAGGCCAGCTCCAGATATAAACTTCAGTCTTAGTTTGGGGAAAGATCTGTCTTAGTCCTTAAAAACCTGAACATTTTTAAAGACTAAAATATGCCTGGTCCTTGATTTAAGTAATCTTTTCTTTTCATGCTCTTTTTCAGACTTTATCTTTTGCTTTGGCTGACAAAACCAAGGCCAAAATTGTCTTAGCAAATGACCCAGATGCGGATAGACTTGCTGTGGCAGAAAAGCAAGACAGGTGAAGTTACTTGATTGTGTAATGGAAAATATAAAGGATGAGCTCTTTGGCAGTACGATTCTAGGGAGGCTGAACCCACATGCCAATGTTTCCATTAATTTTGCAAATCATCTCACTGAACCGTCTGTGGAATCATCTTGGTTGGAGCACGGTGCTGATCTCAGGGGAACAGGGATCACATCGTTGGCACACATAATGCATAGAAAAACAACCTGAGACGTACTTGGAATTGAAATGACTCTTTGTGAGCCTCCCTCGGTTTGTAATTGAGTTTAATATAAATAGTGTATCCATGCCTAATGGGGGCAAAATACTTTACTTGGTGCTGACTTTACAGATCAGTATTTGCCAGTAGCTTTGGTAAAGAGCTGTGTCTTTAAGAAAATGTTGAATATAGGTGAAATAGAATAATACCTGTGGGGTATTGGCACAGTGTATAGGACAGCTGCACAACAGAATAGTAAGTCGGTCTGTTGAGTCCTCAGACCAAAGCCTCTGCCAAAGATTAAAATAAATGCATTCCGTGTCTCTCTGACATGTTATTTTACGTGATCTTCAAAGATAGGCCGTTTGTGTGGACAAACTGGCTGACACATGGTAGCTGCTCTGGCACTTGTGAAGTGGCAGTGACATTCTGACCAGTTAAAGACTAGATGAGGGCAGGCTTTAGAAAGCACACTGAACCTTGTTTGCTTAGTCCTCCTGTTCCAATGACTTCTAGTGCCTTCCTGAAGATCACTGAAGTGAGTGGGTTGTTTTTCTTGCAGTGGGGAATGGAAAGTGTTTTCAGGCAATGAACTGGGGGCTCTCCTGGGCTGGTGGCTCTTTACTTCCTGGAAAGAAAAGAACCAAGATCGCAGTACCCTCAAAGAAGCATACATGTTGTCCAGCACTGTCTCCTCCAAAATCTTGCGTGCTATTGCCTTAAAGGAGGGCTTTCATTTTGAGGTAATGTATCTATGGACTTGAGCATTTCCTTTTTTTGTTGTTGTTCTGTAGAATACCGAAGGCATTTCTTTTTCTTTTGCACTATCTTTTTAGGAAACATTAACTGGCTTTAAGTGGATGGGAAACAGAGCGAAACAGCTAATAGACCAGGGGAAGACTGTCTTATTTGCATTTGAAGAAGCTATTGGTAAGAAGTGGTAATGAGGATCACAGAATCAGTTAACATAAAGGATATAAATAAATAAGAGAAAGGTCTGGCTTTGGGTTCAAAAGACCCACAGTGAAACAAGAGCACACGGTTTACTTTGCTTCTCTGCTGTTCAGGTGGAATGTTAACTGCCCTACTCCAAAATTAGCATCTAATATTTTTCAATAAAAAGGACTATCTTGCGCATAGTCAGGCCATCCACAGATGACTGGAAACAGTGACATTCTGCACATAGCTGCTGGCAACCACATATTTGGGGAGTTATGATGCTCCCTCAGCTGTGGTATTGGATATCCAGGCCTAGTAGAGTCCACCCTCTTCTGAAAGTGCCAGTGAGGATGCTTGCTGTGTCTGTCCCTAGGGGAAAGAGAAGGCACCGTGTGGGGCTCTTCTCAAAGTCATGATCAAGGGAAAGGATGACCCAAGTCTAGCCAGAATGACTGAAAAAGCCTTGTCCTAAGCTATTAATCAATGTATATAAGCAGAAAGGAGAGCCAGATATAGAAATATGAAATTCAGATGTTTGTGCCAGAAAGTGTTCGGTTGTTGACTTTAGTAAAAACTATTATCCACTGACACTATTTATGTTCATCTGTATATTCCCTGCATGCGCCTCATTTACTTAACAGATTCAGTGAAGTGTAATAGGTCAGCTTTCGCTCTTTTGTTGTCAGATTGGCAGAATTGCCTTACTGTAGGTTTTTTTTTTTAATTTTCTTATGCTTTTTGGCAAGTGTTAATTGTGTATCTGCTACTCAGCGACTGTGAAAGAAATGGATGATGCTGACCTTAGCCTACTGTAGCCTACAGAGATCTATCAGATTGGCAGAATTGCCTTACTGTAGCTTTTTTTTTTTTAATTTTCTTATGCTTTTTGGCAAGTGTTAATTGTGTATCTGCTACTCAGTGACTGCAAAAGAAATGGATGATGCTGACCTTAGCCTACTGTAGCTTACAGAGATCTAATTAAGCAACAGTACAAAGAGTATAGGCTAGGTGTCCAGGTGAATCATGTAACTATCAAGAAGAGAGTTTCTTCAGAAAAGAAAGCAATAGATATTGATTCAAACAACTGGATGCTCCATACTTGTACCACCCCTAACGTGCAAGAGTCAGGATGCCAGTGCATTTGATGAATCCACTCCTAAGGGTGTGTGTCTGACGTGTCTCTGCAGGCTACATGTGCTGCCCTTTTGTTCTGGACAAAGATGGAGTCAGTGCCGCTGTCATAACTGCAGAGTTGGCTTGCTTTCTAGCAACCAAGAATTTGTCTTTGTCTCAGCAGCTAAAGGCCATCTATGTGGAGTAAGTTTCTATTGACTCTGCTTGACTGAGTAATATGTTTAAATGTTTCATTACATTCGTATGCAGGAGACAATATTCTTTCTAATGTACTGCCTTTGCTGATGGGTTCTATTTCCTAGGAAAAATAGATCACCTTTTCCTTTCGGTGTTTAATAATTGTCATTTACAGTTGCATTAATTCTTAACAAGTGAGAACATTAGTTGCAGAGATGGCTAATTGAAGAGTGTGATTTGAAGTGTCCAATGTCAAAGAAAATACTAAATGTATTCCTAATACATATATTTAGTCTTCACAGCCAGTCTGGACTCTGCCTGTGTATGGAGCGTGGAAGCAGCTAGACATAGTACACACAAAATAACACATATTGGCTGTGTTCCAATAAAACTTTAATTTACGAATATAGGCTGTGGTAGATCATTGAACCTTTTGTTTAATGCTAGGTTATTGCTTTGAGGTTTGTTATGGTTGTTTTCGGAATATATTGGTTGGCACATAGCCTGTGTATACTGTAGAGTTATCTGTTGCTAATTCTGTGTGAATTTGTTCATTTTTTTGGATAGGTACGGCTACCATATTACCAAAGCTTCATATTTTATCTGCCATGATCAAGGCACCATTCAAAATTTATTTGGAAACCTGCGAAACTATGATGGGAAGAATAATTACCCAAAAGCTTGTGGCAAATTTGAAATCTCCGCCATTAGGGACCTTACAACAGGCTATGATGATAGTCAAGCTGATAAAAAAGCTGTAAGTAATGTGTACTTTTGTCAACTAAACTCTTTTTTGCTTTCCTTTTTTATAATTTGAGTAGATTCACATATTCATTTAATTCACATATTCATTTAATTGAAGCTGAATTTAGGAATTTATGCATCATTATAAATGTTATAAAATATATGGAAATTTTAAATCATGGGTTAGAACTGAAAAGGATCTCCATAGTTATTAGGCAACAATGATAGACAACAAGTGCCATCATTTAACACAGAAGGAGATGACTGTTCACTAGGACAGAGCCTGTCTGTGGCTATACAGCCAGTTGGTGAAGGTCCAGGTAGAATCTGGGTCTTCCAACAATAGATCCAGCTTTTCCTCTTTATCAGCAGTTCTCAACTGAAGTAGCATCAGAATCACATGGAGAACTGGTTAAAACACAACATGCTAGTCGATTGGTGGCACACACTTACAATCCCAGCACTTGGGAAGTTGAGGCAGCCTAGACTATATAATGAGACCATGTTACAAACAAACAAAATCCCAATGTTCTGTTGAGTGTAGAGTTTCTGGGATGGGAACCAGGAATTTGCATTTTTAACAAGTTTCCAGGGACACGGATGCTGAAGCAACCAGTCCACGATGACCACTACTTGCTTTCTGGTCAGTTTTTTCCCGTGCTTTCAATGCCTGGAAGCTGTGAGCCATAAAGCAGCAATTCACATTCTTCACACCGTGTGGAGCCCCAATAGAGCCACAGGTGGCAGAAGAGTATCACTAACTATGGTAGGGGTAGAAGTACACATTACATTTCTAAGAGATCAATAGTATTAAAAGGAGTCTTATGAAACATGCCACTCATTGCCAAGCTGATACAGCTACTTTCCCTCTCAGTTGTGTCTCCTGGTCACATTTTTTTGTAATTTTTTTTTATTGTTTTATTATTCATATGTGCATACAACACTTGGGTCATTTCTCCCCCCTGCCCCCACCCCCTCCCTTACCACCCACTCTGCCTCCTCCTCCCCACCACCCCCTCAATACCCGGCAGAAACTATTTTGCCCTTATCTCTAATTTCGTTGAAGAGAGAGTATAAGCAATAATAGGAAGGAACAAGGGTTTTTGCTAGTTGAGATAAGGATAGCTATACAGGGAGTTGACTCACATTAATTTCCTGTGCATGTGTGTTACCTTCTAGGTTAATTCTTTTTGATCTCACCTTTTCTCTAGTTCCTGGTCCCCTTTTCCTATTGGCCTCAGTTGCTTTTAAGGTATCTGCTTTAGTTTCTCTGCATTAAGGGCAACAAATGCTAGCTAATTTTTTAGGTGTCTTACCTATCCTCACCCCTCCCTTGTGTGCTCTCGCTTTTATCATGTGCTCAAAGTCCAATCCCCTTGTTGTGTTTGCCCTTGATCTAATGTCCGCATATGATCCTGGTCACATTTTTAAAAATTTAGTTTCTACCTTTCCTACATTGAATATAGCCTGCCTCTGTCCTTGCAAATCAGATTCTGAGTTTTTATTGTTATGGGTAGCAATTAAGGTGCATGCTTAGCTAAGCAGTGTGTTCTTGAGGCTTCCCTTTTTCCATTAAAATTATATTTCCTATAGTTAATAGTTGATTTCTTCTTTGTTTGCCTGGATTTCTACGTGACTATCACCAGTTCTTCCCAAATCATTCATTCTCAGTAGTGTTTTGCACATGGTGCAAGGATCCAGCTACTTTGTGTGCTCCATTTTGTTTCCAGTGACCTCCCTCCCAGTCCTTCCATCCAGCTGTTCTCTTGACTGAGTGCACAGCTGTCACCCTGGGAATACCAGTTGCCAGGTTGAGACCTTTGCCTCTAATCCCCTGGCTTTCTCTTTCTATAGTTGTTATTTATTCGATATATTTCTAATTGCTTTCTGAGAAAAAGCAAGTGGGAATAAATTTTTGGAGACATTTAGTTCTGAAAATGTCTTATTTCGCCCTCACATTTTATTGACTCACAGTTTTGAAAGCATTGCTCCATTACTGTTTAGTTTTTGAATGTTGCATTGATCATCCACACATTCATTCCTTCAGTAAATAATTGAGGCCTTCTGTGTTCTGCAGACAGATATGACAATGCCATACTTAGTCATTTCCTTGCAACTTTTTGTTTCTCTCTGGGAAGATTTTAGGAACTTTTCTCAAAACTTCATGTTCTACAGTTTCACCGTGATGAGCATTGGTTTGTATTTATGGGTACTTGGTTGGCAAGTGACAAATACCTGAGAGAAACAACTGAAAGAAAAGATTTGTTTTGGCTCCCTGTTTCAGAGGTTCCAGTCCATGGTCACCTGGCTCTATTGCTTTTAGGACAGTAGCAAGGCAGAAACTGCATGTTGGAGGAAAGCTGCCCCTTCATGGTAGCCAGGAAACAAAGAGAAGCAATGGGAAGGACCGAGGGCCAAGAGAAATCCTTCAAAGACACACTCCCAGGGATCCACTTCCTCCACAAGGCCCTACCTTCCATAGTTCCACCACCTCCCAGTGGTCTACTCAAATTTCAAAACCATGAGGGATTTCAAACCATCCATTCGTTAGGTCAGAGCCCTCATGATCTAATCTCTGGAAATTCCTTCACAGACATTTCTAGAGGTGTGCTTTACTAATTTCCCAAGCTTTTCTCAATACAATCCAGTTGACAATGAAGGGCTGGGAGTGAGGTTCAAATGGTAGAGCTTCTGCCTAGCCCTGGATGCAATCCCCAGTACTGGAGAAGAGAAAAAAGTTGACAATCAAGTTGACCATCACAGTGGGTCTTCTTTGGTCTGTGGAATGATTTTAGTTCTGAGTTTTCTTGATGATGAGTCAAGGAAGGGAGCTTTCTTGAAGAGTCCTAGATAGGTGCTAGCTCTCCAGGACTGATAATCTACTTCTTTCTTTCCTGTTGTCTATCTCTTCCACTCCTTCAGCAATTTCTTCCACTTTAACTTTCATTGTTTCTGTTGACTATTTCAGTTCTTACTCTAATTTATTCAAAATAACATCCAGTTCTTATTCTATATGTACTAACTTATCTCTCTAAGGATACCTTTTTTAAAACACTGGATCTCCCTCTACCCCATATTGCCTTTTGTTTTCCTTCAAGTTCCTTTTTTTTTTTTTTTTTTTTTTTGTCTTTTTCTATTTGTTTTGGATTTGTCATTTTTACAATGCCTTTCCCCAGGGTTCTGATGATCCCTCATTGTCCTTTGGATACTTAAAAGCTGATTGAAACTCTGTCTATGTGCAAGTCAAATGATATACTTTATTCCAAGGATCTAGCTAATAAGTCAACCTTTTTAAAGGGGGCCTTATCTGGGGCTGCTTAGCTGCTCTAGAGAAGCCTAAATCGATTCTATTGCATGATTGGGATGTAAAGGCCCTGAAAGCATGGCTGGGGGGCAGGATAGAGATGTCTCAGCCTGGGAACTTCCACTTAATACCTTTATCTGCCATACCCTACCCTCCACAATGACTGCTGTTCCTAGCATCCAAGCCTTTCTGGTTCAATCTCCATTGAATCAAAGCATCTCCTGCAAAGATAAAGAAGAGCTGGGTCCCTGACTCTGTGGGCTGGAGTGAGAATCTGGAAGTTCTAGGAAGTTCTTTCCTATACTTCCCCTGTATTCTACCCTGACCCACAGTGGCCTTTTACAAATGTGGTACCTCTGGTTCTTGAGCCTGCCCAGGATTCTGCAGAGCGTACTGACTCAGTTTCCTCCTTGTGTCTCCTGCTCAGTCACATGCTTTCTGCAACTCCATGTTTTCTGACCTCCATGATTGGTTGACAACCCTGTCAACTGTTATCTCCTCTTTTCCTCTTTGCCCCTGTATTTATGCTTCGTGCAAATACATCTATTATAATTTTAGTGGAGTTTTGAAAGCTAGCAACTGTAAATACATCTGCCAGAAGCTTTATAGTAAAAATAATAAAATCTCCTTATAGAGATTTTTCAGTGTTCTATTGGCTATTTCAGCTCTTCCTCTCTTTTTTTTTGGCAGTTTCACATTTCAACAGTGAGATATGGTCTCATTTTTTTCTCATAGTGCATTTTTAATCTGTTCAAATCAGTTTCTTGTGAAATGATACATTTTAATTTAAGTAAAACGTTAGTAACGTAAATAAATCTAAGGAGGTAAAAAGCCAGTCTACAAAGTTATAAATTATTATTACCATTTAGAATTTCATTCAAATGGAGTACCTTTTCAGATATCTGGTTGGCATTTGTTTTCTTGCTTATCCATTGGAGAATATTCATTAGGCCAGACTAGTTTGTGTGGCTGTTTAAATGTGTGACATGTGAATTAACTCCTAGGTTCTTCCTACCAGTAAGAGCAGCCAAATGATCACCTTCACCTTTGCTAATGGAGGTGTGGCCACCATGCGGACCAGCGGCACAGAGCCCAAAATCAAGTACTATGCAGAGCTGTGTGCCCCTCCTGGTAACAGGTACGTCACGGGTGGCAGCTGCTTTTATTCCTCAGACTTCCTACTTGGTTTTGTTCAAGTGCTAAGTAAAAATTTTCATCTGTCCGATGTGCAGTTTAATTAGAAACTGTGGCAATATTGTGATAATTCCAACAGCTGGGGCATGCAGGGATACACGAGCTCACTTCTTGCTTACTTCTCTCCTACTTTTCTTTGTGTGGGAAAAATCACATTCCTCATTTCAGTAGTAATAGTAAAATTTTCTTTTTCTTAGTATTTTTATTGGTAACTAATACCAATGAATTTTTTTCTTTTTCTCCTGTGGTCTCCCATGCCTGTGATAAAATAAATTAAAATCTGATCCATACATATTCAATATCTTTAGGCTAAACCAGGTCCCAGGAAAAACAAAGACCACCTCAGAAAGACTCTTTGCTTACAAAGAGCAGGGACCCAGGAGCTGAGGGTGTTGCTCACCCTCCAACAACAGTACCAATTTTAACTCTTTAACACCCTCTGTGTGTGTCCTTAGCACATGAAAATGTGACATGCATACCTATTTAATCCTGGGCTAACTAGCACTTCTCAGCCCAGGATATGGTAGAGAATCAGGCAGTGTTTTTAAAAGGTGAATTAAGTCAGTGCTGTCCAATAGAAATAAAATGTAAGCCATATATACAATTTAAAATCTTCTAACCACATTTTAAAGGAATAAAAAGGAACAAGTGAAATTAATTTCAATGATATGTTTAATTTAACATAATCTATCCAAAGTACTAACATTGCAATATATAATCCATGTAAAAATTATTGAGGTATTTTGCATTACTTTTGAAAGAAAAAGAAACACTTAAGTCTTCAAACTCCACGCAGCACGTTGAAATTTCAGTGCTAAATTTTATTGGAAACACTTGATCTGTGTTTAGGTTCCACAAAATTACAGTAGAAAAAGTAGATTTTTTTTTTTTTTTTTTTGAAAAAGTAGATTTTGATATCCAAATTATAACTGAATCAAGTGTCAGTTTTTAATTTGAATTTTTGGGCAAAAACTGAACCATGAAGCCAATATACAAAGCAGTTCAATTTTGGAGAATTCTAGATTACCAATATTTGATCATATAATTGTACAGGTATCAGTGTTTCTATATGGTTAAATAATATGCTGTCATACTGGATATGGTTTTCCATAGTCTTTTCTTTGTCACTCTCGTTCTCACTTGTGTTCATATTTCTATGCATCATTCTTTTCTGTCCAAGTTAAGGATATGTTTTCTATGTATCTTTGTCCTTTCTTTTTCAGTACCCTATCAATACATCTAATACTTCAGGATGTTTTCCTTTATAAAAACACTATTTAATGCTTAAGGCTCTGTGCTATTTAAATTTTTCACATGGCAGGGTAACTAGATTTCGGATATCTGTTTATAAATTGCTGATAAAACTTAGACAAGTTGTCCTTGTGTTACGTTCTCTGAAGCATTGCCCCTCTTTGTGACATGGGCTGTTAGGCACTAGGTTGGTCTGGGAGTGTAATGTCCTGGCTCAAGGGGGCACCCCCCATACCTAACGTAGAGGCAGTAAAGACATGACGAACAGAAGTTTAAATATTATTAATACATTTTGTGTCATGGATTTTATTTACTCATAGAATTCCATAGCCCACTAATCATTTAATAGAATAATCATTTAGTAGAATCATTCAGTAGAAAAGTCTCTTCAAGTATCAGTTCTGCAGTTCAAATATTTTTGTTGGAGAGTTCTTTAGTTTGCCCACTTTTAATTTTTAAAAAGTTCTAATGTAAAAACACTGAGATAACAGTACAGCAAACCCACATCTCCTGCACGTGTGGGTTGGCAAACATTTTGATAAAGAGTCAAGTAGTAACTATCTTAGGATTTGCAGGCCATGTGATCTGGTTTGACTGGTCATATGATGTGTCCTGTTGCTTTTTAAGATGTTATGAAATATTCTCAAACTTTAATTTTAAAATGGGTGGGGAGGGGCTGGGTGTGGTGGTACAAGCCTATAATTGCAATTACTCAGGAGGTAGAGTCAGGAGGATCTAAGTTCAATCATTACTAACAGACCAGCCCAGGCAAAAGTTATTGAGACCCTATCTCAAAAACAAGCTCGGCATGGTGATCCACGCTACAATCCTAGCTACATAGGAGGTAGAGCAAGAGGACTGTGGTCCAAAACCAGCCTGGGCAAAGTTAGTGTAACACCGTATCTGAGAAATAAAAGGCAGAAGGGCTGGGTCATGGCTCAAGTGGTAGAGTGCTTGCCTAGAAGACTGGAGGCCCTGAGTTCAAACCCAAAACTGCAAACAAAACAGATCATTTTAGGATTCGAATGGGGAATAGTAAGACAAAACTTTAGTTTTAGCAAATATTGCATTGCCAAATCATATACAGTTGTACTGGGCCTCCCCCCATATACATAAATGCAACATCAGAATTATTAAATAAGTACATAAAAGATGTATATGATGGTTAAAAAACAAACCTGATTAGTAAATAAGTTAGTAATTAGGAAATTCACTGAGTTTTACCTTTAGGTTTTAGTTAAAAATAATTATTACTGTGTGTGCCTTCCTGAAAACTGATATTGTCTTCAAAGCACATTTACTGAGAAGGAAAAAGAGAACCAGAGTAATTCATATGTTTGTGTGAAGCATAATTACTGTGTATGTTGCCAGTAGGGACAAAAATAATTATAATGATAGCCACATTTATTCAGGTCTCTGGGCCAGGTTCTGTGCTAATTACTTTAATATCTCTCAATCTGTATAACAGCTCTCTTGAGAAGGTGTAGTCTTTATCCCAATTTTACAAATGAGAAATGTGGACCTGAGTGAGGCTAAGCCACTAGCCCAAGGGCACATACCTTGGAGAGCCAGAATTAATGTCTCCAGTAAAATTGATTGCTTTCATTGTGCTACTTAGCTGCTGCAATATTAAAAATGATCTTAACTAATTACAAAGATTGTCCTTTCCATTCAAATAAACCTCATAGTTATAAGTCATGGAGCATATGAAGGGTTAGGTTCTCAAATTTGGCTTTTCAGTTTTAAACTGGGTGACTTAGGCTACACTCCACAAGGTGCTGCAAACATGTATAACTGCAAGTCAATTTCATGAATTATTTTTCCTGTAATGATTTGCATATAAAGGAGTGTTCCATATTCTGAAAATCTGAATTTCTTAGAGGGCTCTATCTCCCTAGATTTCTGTTTATACTTTAGCTGTGACAATTTTGTTTGGCTGTGGGGAGGTAGATTAATAAAGGTAAGCTGCCAGGTATATGGAAGGTGTATTTCCTGGTGTTTGACTTCTCAGACCTGCAAGGAGAGTCCCCATCTGGGTCCATTCTAGAAAGGCCGATTAGCCTTCTGTCACCTGAGGACAAACATCACTAGGAATGGTTAGAGTCGGGGAAGTTGAAGGCTTCACAGAATGTCATCGGTAAAAGTTCAGCAGGTATATGGCACTTGGATTCAAGAAAGTTTTCTCTGCAGTACTCGGTACAAGCATGGGACATCTTCTAGGGATGCTAGGCCAAAAGGTGAATTTCTTAAAAATTCTTAGGAGAAGAGCAAGGGATAAAATTTTGTTTATAGTCAAGAGCATGGAAAACAAGTGAGGGAAAGTAATAACAAATTGTCTCTTGGGATTTTTTTTGGCTTAAGTTAACAGATGTGTTTCCAGGCACATAGCTCTGGAGTGCTGGGTTTTCTGAGTAGTCCTCCTCTTACAATTAAATTTCAGTGTCATTTGGTCAATGGGAGGAACATTTAAAATGCACTTTGGAATAATGCATTGATCTGAATTTTTCCCCCTCATGTGCCAGTGATCCTGAGCAGCTGAAGAAGGAATTGAATGAACTTGTCGAGGCTATAGAAGAAAACTTTTTCCAGCCCCAGAAGTATAATCTGCAGCCCAAGGCAGAGTGACGTATTCAAGCCTCCGACAGAGCTGCATTTACTTCCAATTAAGCTGAACTTGATTTTAAGTAATATTTTTGACTGCCAATGACTCCAGTTATAGCTATAAGTATTTACATATTTTAAAAATATCTCTAGCCTTCATTGTTTTATGTTTAATCTTTGAGAAGAGAGAAGAGATAGGTAAACCTAACTAACATCCTTATTGTAATGCTAAGTGTGGGCATTATCTGAATTTTTTTAAATGAAGATTTAAAAACCAACTTTCAAAAACCAAGTCATTGATATGCCTTAATTTGCATAAATGTGTCTTCTGTCCTCTTTTTTTTATGTGTAGCATAAAAATAATCAGCAAACCTTGGAAAATTAATTCCAGGCTGTCATATATAAGGTAACCACTTTTTAAGTGTATTTATAGTTATGTTTCTATCAGTTACTTATACAGTAAAATGAATGGACTGATCAAATGTTGTACTTATGTTTTAGAAAAATACAATTCACAAGACACTGTGAAGTAGAACAAAAGCTACTGTAAAAAATATGGGGTTTTTTTATATAAAACTTTAGCTCTAATAATATTGTAATGTGCTAGAAAAAGAAAGTAATGTCCTTGTTGACTGTGCTGAGGTTCATTTTATCTGTTTAAATCCTAAAACCAAACAGGTGGGCATTTTCACCTTGCAAAGTGGTTTATTGTTCAGTTTTTTTGCTCTAGCACAGTTTCATAGAGTTCTTGGTTTTGAGGCAAGGACTATGAGCAACAATTAAGTACTTGACCTTGATATTTTTGACCTTGTTACAAGTTATGTGACGAAACACATAACACATATTCATTTTCCAGGTTTATTACTTAATCTGTTCCTTCTGTGTCTTCTAATTCATGGCATACAACCTTCCAGAATGATTCCTATTGAGCACCTGTGAGCTAGAACCAAACCATCCTTTCTATATTTTATATGCCTGCCTTCCTTCCTTCCTTCCTCCCTTCCTTCCTTGCTTCTCTCCCTCCCTCCCTGTTTCATTTTCTTTCTTTCCTCTCTCTCTCTCTCTCCCTCTCTCTCTGTCTTTCCTCTATGGTACTGGGGATCAACCCTAGGGTTTCACACATGCTAGGCAAGCACTGTACCACTGAGTACTTTTCTATTTTCCATTTTTAAAGCAAATGATTTCCACTATTTTTTTCAGTTGACCTACATGGTTAACAAATTTAGAACAAAGTAAAGGGAAAAATGTTATTTATACCTTCATGATAACAATGTGTGTCCTACCAGAAGTCTTAAATCTATAATATCCAACATATTCTGTCAAATATTTCACTGCAGGAACCATACTTATTTCTGTTTTATTATGCTTTCCACTCTCAGACTGGAAAACAAAGCATTAGGTCTGTGTCCACACATTGTTTTGAGTGCACACCTGAACCACATCATGGAGTTTGTGTTTGGAAAAACAAAGTGGATTAAGACCCAGTCCTACTTGGTGGTAACAACACTTACAGTTCTACCACAGGGTTATTTACAAGTGGTGCAGAAGCATGGGGAAGGTTCTGTGTGCCCAGAGAATCCTCACCGATGGGTAATGATGGAGAGTGAGCAGCAGCTGAAGATGGAAGATGTTCCAAGCGCAGGGCCAGAATTCACAAAGATGAGGAGGAGCTGACAAGTGGCAGGAGTGGTGATGAAAACGGAACCCAGATGTCAACCTCAGGCTGCACCCTCTGCCCTTGCACCTACAGATGGTCTTGTTGGACTAAGGGAATCCCCCAACTGCTCCTCACCTACATTTCTAGGAAGTAGCACACCGCAGATACACACCATGCGTTTCCTAACTTCTTCCTGCTATTATAGGATGTGAGGTGCCACCACTATATGGTGCATGAAGCTCAAAACAGTAAGGTTTTAAATTTGATCAGCTATGAACCAGCTCTGTGACCTTGGTCAGGTCACTTCACCTCTAAAATTTTAGTTTTGTCATTTCTTTTAAAAGACTATTTTTTTAGGGCAGGTTTATTTTCACAGCAAAAGTGAGAGCAAGGTGCAAAGTTATCCCACGTGTCTCTGCCCTCCTCATGCACAGGACCCCCTTGTCCACAGCAGAGGTACATTTGTTACAGTTGCTGAGCTGACATATGTCACCATCACCCAAACTGTGGAGACAGTGAAAAGATCCGTGGTGGCCAGGGGCAGGCAGGGAGGGAGGCATGAGTAGAGCACCAAGGAGATTTGGGGCAGTGACAATCCTACTTTGTAGGATACACTATAGTGGTGCATATATGTCACTATACATTTGCCCAAGCCCATAGAAGGTATAACACAAAGAGGAACCCTAATGTGAATGCACTCTGGGTGGAAATTTTGTCATTTCTCAAATGAAGAAATTTCATTGCATGGTCTCCAAAGTCATTTCATGCCTTTGGGTCTTTATGTAAAAAATGCACAAAGAGCAGCTATAAGCAACAATAAATCACCAGCAATTCTCTCTGACAGAGTACTTAGCTAGTTCTACAAGACCTAACATCTCAGATAGGCGAAAGTATTGTACCAAAGAGGGGAAACTTGTGCTCATAGCTCCCTTGCCTGGCAGCCTGAGGGGGGAGGGGAGGGGTCTTGAAACTGGGGACAAGCAAGACAAACTGCATAGCATGCAGAAGCTGGGAAAATGATTACAGGAGTAAGGCAGTGGCCACAGATCAGGGCTGAGAGCTGTCTCAGCAGCCCAGTCTGCACCCTAATTGCTTGCCCTGCGTAGGGAGTATCGTCCAATTTGAGTGCAGAGGTGGCTGGTCCATTTTATTCAGTGCCTAGAAAGAACAAGTCCCAAATTAAGAGATTGACTTGTGGGAGGAAGTACAAGCCAAGTATTTTTCCTTGTGGCCTCTAAAATAGCAGCTGTTTGTCTTTCCATTAAGAACCTTTTGGGGGTGCCTGTCATTGATTTATCCCAATCATGGTGGCTATGGTGGGAAAATAGATCATTGACATTGGAAGGTCAGGTGGCTTTAAATGTGTCAAATGACAGAACAAGTATGTGTGCCCTGCTTTGAAGAGATCTTGACACAGCATCCACATCTCATGCTTTCTCCATCCTAAGAGGAGCATCCTGAGAGCGACTTGTGCACTCACTCACGCATGTGTCTGTTCCTGGACGCCTATTTGAAGCCTGCAAGTAGCCGGGCCCTCTTCTGGATACTGATAACAAACAGAGCCCTGATCTTCCATGCGGTCTAGCAAATGAAATGCACACGAATACAGACGATGCTCATGTGTTGCAATACAGGCACTTGAATTGTGGGCAAGTAGTTTTGGAATTCCCCCTTTTCAACTTGTCTGTTTCAAGATTGTCAAGTTCAAGTTTCTAACATTTGTGTTTAAAACAAACTAACTATGAAGCTGTATTTGCATGCTCTTTTCCTGCATCATTCCTTTGTTCCATTCTTACTACCAGAATATGTAGAGTAAAGCAAGACATCAGACTCTCAGGCAGATGAGAATCACAGTTGAAAATAAGATTACTTCTTCCGTTGACTTCTCCACAGAAGCCAAGCATGATGACCGCTCATGTTAATTGAAGGAGAAAGAAGAGTGGAGAGATGAGGTGCTCACATGCGATCATTGTCATGGTCGTCATGTTCATGCTCGTGAGTTAGTGCTGAGGAATCTGGGGTTCCGACCACCTAGCTCCCTTGGTAGTTCCTGGAAACTAAAACTTGAGGAACAACCTTCAGCTACCTTCCACTTGGGTCCGCTGAAGCCACTTTAGTGTTTGGCCCAAACATGGCACAAAATGGACTCAGGCACCCAGACTGGAGAGCCAGCTCCAAGTGTAACTAGCTTTTGAAACCATTTCAAAATAGCCTTGTGCAACCTCCAACGGAAAGTCAGGGTTGCAAGTTCCAGACATGAGAGCCTAACTAAGTCTTTAAATTTCACTCTTCTCAACTCTGAAAAGGAGCAATTAAAAAAAAAAGTCCCTGGGGGCAAAAGCAGAATGTTGCTCTCTATGTGATAAGTGTTCCTGTGGTTTAATAAAACAAAAGCCAGCTGGAGACAGACTGTCAGGCTGGTTATCTTCTTAGCAGGCTTCTTCTGTTTCCCTTCCTGACCCTCAGTGGCTCATTCCCTGTGGTGTAATCTTTGTTCTCTGCCCTCTGAAAGCTTCTGTATGCCCATGGCTGTAATTATTTCAGGACTACAAACTTCCCCACCACGCTCCAACCCCATGGCAGCACTTTGCTACTTCCACTGTCCTCCTACATGTCCACAAATTGCATCAAATGTAGCCTAGCCCCAAATCAGGTTTTCCTCCTCCCTTCCCTCTGGCTTACTTGTGCAGAACCTTCAGTGACTTTAGTGCCTGACTCTCACCCATCTTTTTTTTTTTTTCTTACGAGAACTTACTCTTGTAAGATTCTGATGGAGAATTTAAAACTTCTACAAAGAATGGTTCCCACTACCCAATGACAGCAATACCTCTTCATGGCCAGTCTTGTTATCTGTATTTCTCCCTTGTTTCACATCTTACCATGGGACAATTCTGAAGCAAATCCCAGACCACTCATTGCCCCGTAAATATTTTACTATGTATTTGTAAATGATGAGGACTTGTTCACACACACACATACACACACACACAACCATACTACCATTTTACACCTAAATATATTGATGATTCTTAATATCATCAATTACCCAATGTGCAGTTTTCCTTCCTTCCTTGCTAGGCAAGGTTCTCTACCACTTGAGAGCCATGCCTCCAGCTCAAATTTCCCCATTTATTTCATTTATTCTTTGTTTGAACCTGGGTTCAAATAGTGTCCACTCATTGCCTTTTACAGATCAGCCACTTTTGATCTCTTTTGATCTAGAAATTCTTTGTCCCTTTTTTCTTTGTCTTATAATTTATTCCAAACTACAAAATTTATCCTGTAGGGTTTCCTATATTCTGGATTCTGTTTATTGCCTGCTCATCATGTATTTAACATGTTCCTTTACACTCTATGTTCTGCCATCTGTACAGTCAGATTAAGAAACATGAGTTGATTCAGGTTTGATTTTTTAAAAAAGAATCCTTGATGGGAGTGGAGGATGAGGCACTCACAACATTTCCAGTTTTTTCCTAGTTCCCAGAATTGGTTATCACCAATTGGCCACCTGCTCTTACTCTGCCC